CAGACTCGGAACAATTATTTGTAGGCCGAACAAACTCTTGTTTCGTGCAAGATTCGAAACCGTGCAGCTACACAACCAAACGCTTAGCCACTACTTGCTTTACCGAGCATTTATAGAGCCTTTAGTGGGGCTGGCGTATATGAAAGACATGATTTTCTATTTACCGTCTTGAGATGCATTCGCCAAAATTGTATGCCAAACGCGCCGCTATTCAAAGATCTAAGCCTACGATCTTAACACTACATTCTTTACGAGATAGAAATTAGATTGAAGATTTGTCTATATGCTATATCAAAAACACGGTGACTATCTAAACATAATCAGATACTAAAACTAATTTGAGTTTTTGCAATAATGTTGTTGCCATAGGATAATCGAACTCAGTATTTACTTAACCAAAAAAAAAATTAAAAAAGATAGTAATAAGACATCATAGGTATATATGTGTGGAAATAAAATTATAGTTCTATATAACGAAAACACCAGAGCCCTAGCCTCTGTAAAATGGGCAAATTGGTTGAGTATGTATTAAGTACATAAAATTTGCAGAAGCCAGAACATAATGACTCGTTGCCCAGTGCTGAATAAATAGATTCCTTACTGAAAATCCACTCTAAATTGTCCCTTTTTCGGCCAACTTAACGCTATCGTTTGCTAGGGCTGTACTGTGTAATGTCGATGGAATAGTTCATGTGACAGCTTTTATTCTATGGATAGAATGTTAACTTCATCATACCTCATGCATATTCTCATATAATGGTTAAATTATGATTGATCGATTAACATATTTGATGTTCTGATGTTAAAAATATTTAACATTATGTTTGTTACATTATGATAATTATTTTAATGAAAACCCAACATAAAGATATCTTTTACGTGGTAGAGCCACGCTACAGCTATATTATAGTTGTACCACGAATGGGTTGGCTCGACCAGGGCAGGACCACGTTCTCACAGAATACCAGCGTAAAATAGCTGTATTTCGTATGGTGAGTGTAGACAACCGGAGAAACTTTTTTGGAACGCATTTGCATTTTGATCCTTAATTGAGGATAAATGTGGATGTCTACAGGCCACAGCATCCACTTACTATCAGGTGAACTGTGTGCTCGTTGGTCACCAAATGCCATTAAAAAAAGACATACGACAAAAACTTTCAAGGGTTAATTATTTTAATGGTCTTTTTTTTCTACCCGTAAAATTCCAGTAAAAGTTCACAGCTGTACCTCAGTGAGCCTCTCCCTCAGTGGAGAGGATTTTGAAATGTTTGTGGGGAAACTAGTACGTTATAAAAGTACAATATATGAATAAGGTCTTATCTATATCTCGAGAGTATTATTCCTTACTTAACGAATTGGTATTTAATTCATAAAAATTCTAAAATAAAATAAATGTTTTTTTTAACGGAAATAGTTTTTTGTAAATACTTGTTGGATAATTTTTTGTTTAGTGTTTAGTATATTTAATTGTAGGATCAAATCGTTGAAAAGGTTTTAATATAATTTAAAATGTATGTATATTATGTATATATATGACCTATTTGATCAATTGTAATGTCAAAATGTCGTTCTTACTATAACTGTTGTATGAAAATGACTTTCAATAGTGATAGGTTCGAATCATATTTGTATATAACAGAACAATATTGTTGTATTGTCTACAAAAAATGGTTTCGTCATCGTCTAGATATTTGTTCAACGAGTGAAAATCTTAGTGTAGTAACATATAAAAAAAATTATTATTTATATTTTATACGGAATAAAAATATTATATTCTAATCTCTATTCCAATACCAGTACAGAGGCACTCAATTACTATAAAAATATTCCTATTTATCGGTTCCGAAGTAAAGCCTTTCTTCGGAGTAGTTAATGAGAGAAGTTAAAAATATTGCTTGAATTTTACTTGAGTGTGAATTTAATTTATTTTAAAACAAACTGTAATTTTTATAAGAAATCACTTTAAAACCTGCAATAATGTTTAGATAAAATACCGTCCATCTCTTTGTTGCGGCACTACACGTGGATCTAATTTGTCAAGGGCCGCACAGACCCTTTGTTTGTGCGAACAAATTGCTGCCTGATAATTGGCTTAAGTCCCCCCCTAGGAGCCAGTGTTCGGATACCGACACACTGCCAGCGAGTGTAAAGTGCTAATAATAATGTATATAATTTTTTTTATGTTCTTTTATGAAATAAAAAACTGACATAATGCGACACTATTCATGACTGATGGGCGATGGGGATGACATCAAGAGTGACAAACGAGCACACAATCCACCTGATGGTAAGTGGATGCTGTGGTGCATAGACATCTAAATCTATCCTCGATTAAGAATCCAAATACAGATACGTTGTCATCCCTGAAGACTAAGTTAGAACGCCTCGTTTTTAGTAATAAAGGGTCTTCGGTTCTCTACACTCACCATACTAAACATAGCAGTATTAAACTACTTTTTACTCTGGTAATACGTGAGAGCGTGTTACTTCCACGGCCGAGCCGACCCATTCGTGCTACAACTGTGACAGGCCTGTTGGTCTAGTGGTTAGTGACCCTGACTGCTATGCCGGAGGTCGTGGGTTCGATTCCCACCCAGGACAAATGTTTGTGTGATGAGCACGATCATTTGTTCTGTGTCTGGTTGTAATTTATCTATAATATTTATGTATTTAGAAATATATAAGTATGTTTATCAGTTGTCTAGTACCCATAACACAAGCTCTGCTTAGCTTGGGACTAGATGACGTTGTGTGATAGTTGTGGATTATTATTATTATGTGTGGGGTATCTATATAGTTTTCTCATCTGGTTGGGATGTATAAATATATAATTATAAACGAAAATGAAAAGACAAATATACAAAAATATCAATAAAATAAAATAAATACGAAAATACATAAATAAATAAAAGCCCAACCAGATGGAAGCCCTCGGCAGGGGAGACCAAACGGCCGAGGGTTAGGGGGAAAGGGAAAGAAACCGGCGGACGATGCGGGCGGTATCGAGGAGCACCGCCTTCTGCATTTGAGCCTGGAGCGGTCCGCCACGTAGTCCCAGCCGCCTCAGATGACCCGAGAGGCTGACTGGGATTAGCCCGTTTGCAGAGACGACTACAGGAATAATTTCGGTCGGCAGACCACCCCACATGTCGGTCACCTCGTGAGCCAGGTCCAGATATTTTGTTTGCTTATCTGTTTCGGCTTTCACGAGGTTCTCGTCACACGGAATGGTAATGTCGACCAAAAATATCCTTGACTGTGCCCGGTCCATCAGCACAATATCAGGCTTATTCGCAAGAATAGTCCTGTCTGTGATGATGGCCCGGTCCCAATAGAGCCTGGCGCGATCATTTTCGAGCACGGCTTCCGGCAAGTACTTGTAATACGGCAACTTCCGATCCACGAAACCGTATTTCAGAGCGAGCTCCTGGTGTAGAATTCTGGCTACTAGGTTGTGCCTGTGCAAGTACTCAGAGTTAGAAAGCGCCGAACAACCGGAGATGACATGCCTAAGTGACTCACCGGGATGGCGACAAGCTCGACAGATGTCGACGGTGCCATCCTTTAGGATGTATCTCCGATAGTTGTTGGTCTTAATAACCTGATCCTGTATTGCACAGACAAAACCCTCGGTTTCCCCGAAGAGGTCACCAAAGCGTAGCCAGTGGAGAGAGGTTACTGTGTCTACGAAAGGCCCATGTAGAGACTTGTAGAACCTCCCGTGGAGCTCCTTCTCCTTCCATACGGTCTCCCGGTCGGAAATTGTCTGCACTGCCGGGTCTTGCCATTGCTCGTTGGCTAAGGATAGAGGGGTAAGTCCTTTATCACAAGAAATGACGTCCTTATAGAATGGATCATCCGATCTCGCCAGGAAGTAATTACGGAGGCTGCACACTTCGCGATTATGCATGGTGAGCGCGCTCAAGAAGCCACGCCCACCATGCTTTCGCGGCAAGTACAGCCTCATTACCGACGATCTCGGATGATGCATCCTGTGGGACGTCATGGTAGTGCGGACTTTTCTATCCAGGGCGTTAAGTTCAGTCTGAGTCCACCTGAGTATGCCAAAGGTATACATGAGGACAGGCATGACCCAGCCGTTATATGCTTGTGTCTTATTCACACCGGACAAAAGGCTGTTAAGCACTTTGGTCAAGCGTGCATAAAACACGTCGCAAACTGACTGTTTCATACCAGCCTCATCGATACCAATGTTCTGTGACATACCCAGGTATCGGTATGTTTCAGCCTCGGAAAGGGTCCTTAAGTTGACGGGCATAGATAAGTCTATGCCCTCAGAGTTAGCAACCCTACCCCTCTCAACATGGAGGACCGCACACTTATCCGTCCCCAGCTCCATTCCAATGGAATTGCTAAATTCACAAGTGATGTTTAGCAGTTCCATAAGATGGGAGCGACTGGAGGCGAATAACTTGAGGTCATCCATATAGAAAAGGTGGGTCACTTTTGTCCCTCCTTTCCGTAGCTGAAATCCCCTCCCGGAGCCCTCCAGTAAGGTACTGAGAGGGTTCAGAGAGAGGCAGAACCATTTTGGACTCAGACAATCGCCCTGGAAGATACCCCTTCTTATCCTTATGTGGTTCTCCGCAGCCATCATCCGCTCGCCCAGATGACAAAGGATCGTACTCCACTGCCCCATACACTGCTCGAGGAAGTCTCTAACTGTACAGTCTATCTTGTACAGTTCGAGGACTCTCTTTAGCCATGTATGGGGCACCGAGTCGAATGCCTTTCTGTAGTCTATCCAGGCGGCGGAGAAGTTCCGACGGTTGCGTTTCACCACTTTGCCAATGACCGCGTCAATGAGGAGTGGTTCCTTGGTTCCACGACCGCCGCCCCGACATCCATTTTGAGCGCGCGACATCACCTGATTTGAGTCCAGGTGACGGGTGATTCTCGCGCTCAAAATGGATGTTAGTGTCTTATATATGGTCGGTAGACATGTGATGGGGCGGTATTTGCTCGGGTCTGTGGTACTCTGGCCTTTAGGAACCAAATGGGTGATCCCAGTAGTGAAGAGGCTCGGGAGCGACTTCTGGTTGAGAACCTCTTGAAACTGTCGGGCGAGCACAGTGTGACACACCACGAACCCCTTCAGCCAGTAGTGATGCAGCCCGTCGAGTCCCGGACTTTTCCAGTTCGGGGCCCTACGGACCGCCTCAGCTACGTCATCCGGCGTTATGGTGACGGGGTCCATGGGCGTAATACCCGCACACTGACTCGCCACAACTTCCGTCCAAGGGCCCTCGTTGTGGTTTACGGGCTCTGACCACAGGCTGCGCCAGAACGCGACCGTGTCGGCCTGATTCGGTACTGGGCCCGTTCCACTTACCATTGGTCGCTCCAATGATTTATAGAGCCTCTTCTGATCACTCTGGAAGAGACGATTCTGGTTGAACCGTGTCGACCTCTCGGTATATCGCCGAATTCGCTTTCCCCAAGCAGCGATTCTCTGCTTCAGGTCGTCTATGCGCTCCGTCAGTTTTTGCATTATATCCGGCTGGGACAAACTAACATTTGTCCCAGCAAACGCCATCCTGACGGTGCGCACAATCCTTGGCCTGGTATTGCCTGACCTGAAGCATATCAGTCTGCCGATGAGGGCCCTAGTCTTTGCGATACGTTCTTCAATTCTTGTTCTCCAGGCTGGGATAGCACTACTTTGTCCAGTAGTGCGTCCAGCCGTGGAAAGTTTGGCGCCTATAATACGGCAGACTGCCAGTGCGGCGCCAAAGAGAATTGAGTCCGTCTCGCAAAGGTCCCGGCTGGCTTCCAAATAGGTCACCAGCATTGGGTTCAGAGCCCTCACGACAGCCCGATTCCGCTTGCTTAGGGCTATGCGGGGAAGTCGCGGTCGATTTTCGAGAGGCGTACTGCGCGTTTCCATAATCGCCTCTTCCAATGTACTCCTCATTTGCTCTATTTCTAGTTCCTGGGTGAATGTTCCTTCATCATTTGAATCAGCAACCACTGAGGTATTCTCGGCGGCATCCACGTGTGCGGGTTGTTCTGCAACTTGTGGCACCGCACCCTCAGTCGTAGCGTTTTCATTTGATGAGGGAACAGCCTCACGTCGTAGCCGTTCGAGTTCGGCGCCATCAAATATATTTGAGCGTAAGATATACCGAACTCGGTCTGCCAGGTTTTGCTCGGTGACAGTAATAGATGGCTCCAGCTCAGTAAAAAGACGATGCATCCTAGCCCGATACGCGAAACCTCCAATTTCTCCCCCTTTCGCCCTAAAATACGCCCGCAATGCGTTTGAATTCATATTGATGGTCCATCGCATGCGGCGTACTCCACCAGTGGCGGGTGCCGATTGCTGGGCCTGCGAAGACCCTGCCGACACCAAGCAAGCTGGTGGGGTGATGGATGCGAGGGGCTGCTGGGTGGTCGTGCAGCACCTCGCGCTCGGCTGGCAGTTCGCATGCTGTCGCGTCCAGCGCCAGCTCCAGACGCGCCCTGACGACCTCCAGGCAGCGGCCCTTTGCGCAATCTTCTATGTTCCATCATCCATACAGGGCGTCATTTAACGGGAGACGCCCAGACCCGGCGCCGTTTCATGGTGAGGCCATATGCACAAGCGGGCCCTTGCACCATCAATTTTTGCCGAGGCACGGCGCTCACACCTCTTGGCAAGGTGCTGACTGACTGCGCGGACGTAGCGGTTTTGTCACATAACCGTCACGTCAACGGGCGATGGGGTCGTCACTTCCCTACGCCCTATTATTATTATTATTATTATTATTTACGGTAAGTGTTTTCACTTCTCAGCTCTAGGCTGGATTTCAACTACATTTACGGGCCGAAGCCAAAGCAAATGCAGCGTGTGGTGTGTAGTGTAGTTCATGTGATTTGATGAGGTCCTATTTCGTTTTCTTCTATCTGCATGAATTTCCTAACTATTCTGCATGTATTTAATATAGCTGCTTTTTGAAGTGTAATATATAGAGTTTCTTTTAGTTGTAATAATTTTAAGCTACGGAGGAGATGATTTGGGATGACACCTGTTGTGGAGAGGACTATAGGGACCACATATACTTTTTCTTGTTGCCAGATTCTAGTCACTTCATCTTTAAGTTCTGCGTACTTACAAATTTTTTCAGTTATCGTCTTCTGCAAGTTGTGTGTGTTGGGGACTGCAATGTCTATCAGGTAAGTAATATTATTTATTTTATCTTGTAGAATTATATCTGGTCGGTTATAGTGGATTGTTCTATCGGTGAGAATGCCGCGGTCGTAAAAAAGTTTATGTGTGGTGTTTTCTAGAGTATGTTTTGGTGTATAATTGTAGTACGGAGTGTTGGCATCTGGAATGAGTGCGTGTTTGAGTGCTAGTTTTTGATGAATGACATTGGCCACCTGATTGTGTCTGTGAGTGTAGTCAGTCTGTGTGAGAGTTGTGCATGCGCCTGTGATGTGTTGAATGGTTTCTGGATGTGTGTGGCATTTGCGACATTTGTCATTATTTACTGTAGGATCTTTGATTATATATTTTCTGTAATTTTTTGTGTTTATGATCTGGTCTTGAATAGCTATTATAAATCCTTCTGTTTCTGGAAATAAGTTGCCTATTTTCAGCCACTTATTTGAAGCTAACTTATTTATGTGGGATTGCTCTAAGTCATGAGGGTGCCGACCGTGGAGAACTTTCTTCTTCCATTCGTCAATTTTGTGTGTCTGTGGGTTATCACTAGTAGTGTTTTGGGATTCAATCTGATTGCTTAAGTTAAGTGGAGTGTAGTTAATATCATTCGTTACGATGGCTTTATGAATATTGCTAGTATGGGATTTTGTATAGAAGAATGATTTTAATCGACTAACTTGTTTCCGCCATAGGTGCTGGATATCCATTAGGCCTCTCCCTCCATGTTCTCGTTTTATTGTTAGTCTCTCTATGGCGGATTTAGGGTGTAGATTATTGTGTTTCGTGAGTGTTGTACGTGTAGTTCTCGCTCTAATTGTTCTGCATCAGTTTTGGACCATTTTATAACTCCGAATGAGTACGTTAATATGGGGATGGCATAGGTGTTAATGGCTTTGATGAGATGTTTACTTGAAAGTTGAGTTTTACAAACGGCGTTAAGTCTTCTCTTGTATTCCGTAGTGAGAGAATTTTTAATTCGTACGTGGTCAAGACTTTTAAGTTGGACATACCCTAAATATTTGTATAAGTCAGTCGATTCCATTGCTGTAATAGCCTCCGTTTCATTTACCACATAGTCGCCGGGCCTTACTTTGCCTCTTACAATGTGAAGTGTTTTACATTTATCTAAACCAAAATGCATATTAATATCGCTACTGAATTCTGTTGTTATATCTATTAATTTCTTCATATCCTTGTCTGTTTTTGCATATAATTTGATGTCGTCCATGTATATAAGATGCGATATTGTTGTTTCGTCTGTATTAAGTTTGAGGCAATATCCGGCCCCGCAGCTCTGCAGCAAATGAGACAGAGGGTTTAGGGCGAGACAGAACCACAGTGGGCTCAGGGAGTCACCTTGGTAGATGCCTTTTGTGATTGAGATTTGTCGCGTGGTGACAGTATTTTGGTTACAATTTATTTGTAGTGTTGTTTTCCATTGTAACATTATTCGGCGTAAGAAATCGATTATTTTCGGATTTATTCTATAAATTTCTAATATTTTTAATAACCATGAATGAGGAACACTGTCAAACGCTTTTTTATAATCAATATAGGTGCAATGTAAATTTCTATTTTTAGAGATGGCGTGTTTATGAATAGTGGAATCAATTATCAGCTGTTCTTTACATCCCATGTGGCCCTGTCTACATCCCTTCCGTTCTTCTGCTATTATATTGTGGTGTTCAATGTGCGACTGAATTTTCTTTGTGATAGCAGATGTCAATATTTTGTAAATTGTGGGTAGGCATGTAATTGGTCGGTATTGGGAAGGCTGAGGTGAATTTTTTGTTTTAGGTAGCATATAAGTAATTCCTGTTGCAATAAATTCGGGAGTGTTCTGTTGTCCTGTTATTATATCTGTTAAATTTCTTGCTAAAGGTTTGTGTAGAGACGTTAATTTTTTGTACCAAAAATTATGAATTTTGTCTATACCAGGTGATTTCCAATTATGTAACCTAGCTGTAATGAGTGTTATGTCTAACTCTGTTACCTCTTCGAATTCCATTTCGTCAATATCTCTCCATTTTGCTTCCTCTTCAATTATCCAAGATGCTTTGTCGTTATGTTGTTTTTTCTCTTCCCAAATACTCGCCCAATATGCTTCTAGTTGTTCTTTTGTAGGTAGGTTAGGTGTATGTGTGTTACGTTCATCGATTATGTCTGTTTGTGGTTTGTGTAAGTTTCTATAAAACAATTTTTCGTTTGTGGCAAATCTGACGTTATCTTTTTTGCGCTGTTGTGCTTTTTTATACCTTTTGAGCCTATGAACTTTAAGTGCTAATTTTTGTTTTAACGTGTCTAAAAATTCTTCAGGTCTTGTGTTACTTTTTTCGTGTCTGGTATGCGTAGCATTATTCCTAAATATGACCTCTACTTTTTTGACTAGTTTATTAGATCTACAACCGTTAATATACTGAGTGAGTCTACCTATGTTTGCTCTTAATTTTTCAATGTCTTTTTCTAGTCTCTGTTGCCATGCTGGTTCTGTATTTTGTCTTGTTCTTGTAGTTCTTGCATTGTCTGTGATTTTAAAGTTCAATTCTTCGGATATTACTATCGCTGTGCAGTATATAAGTAAATGTATGTCTATAAGTTGTGTGTCATCAGATATATATTGTGTGAGTATAGTTTCATTAAATAAATTAACCAGTCGAAACAGGTTAGGTGTGTACTTAAGTTTAGGTAATCTTGGTCGCGCTGCGGGATCCATCCCAGAGTATAACGTTATTGTTGTTCTAAATTTCTCATTGATTTCTTGGATATATGTATCTGTTGTTAAGTGTTGATCTGGGACAACTATGGTCTCAATATCATTTTCTAGCGTTAGGATTACGGTTTCGGTTTGTGTGGATGTGTGTGATATTTGTGAATGGTCGCATGGCTGAGATTGTGTATAAATGAGTTGTGATTGACTGAGCAATTGTGGTTGTACTTGGCGATCATTTTCACTTGTGTTTTGTGTGATATTAGTTTCTACATAGCTGTTAGTCGCTTCTTCTTGAATTAATTGTGTTCGTACTTCTTCTTTTAATTGATCTATAACTTCTTGGGATAGAAGTTTATTCCTAACTATGGTTCTTCTTTGGTCTGAGATTCTTTGTTCTGAAACAGTAATTTCTGGATATTGTCGAGTGAAATGTGCGTGTAATTGTTGTCTGTACGTGGTCATATCGGTCTCTAATTTAGTAATGTATAGATAAGTTCTCATGATAAATAGATTTACTTCTTTACTCCATTTCATTCGAACTCTTGCTTTTCCAGCCTTGGTGGACGCGGGTAAGAAGGTAGATACCTCCCGCGCAGCACTCAAGGTCGGAGTAGGTGGAACTGTATTTAAACTAGTAATAGGGGGTGATGGAGGTGTTGGTGACGATGGTATGGATGGTGATGTTGGCCTCGAGGGTGTGTATGATACTGTGCTTGGACTATATGGTTCTACAGGGGTGTCTGTCCTGTCCGTCAGTCTGTCACCATCGTCAATGAGTTCGGCTGTAGTATCTTTGTGGGTGGGAGCCCGCCTGTTCAACTCCTCACCGCTGACGGATCGCATGCTGTGACACCCAGCGTCAGCTCCAGGTGCACCCCGGCGATCGCCCCCGGGTAGCGGCCCTATACGTTTACTTTTAGAACGAGTCTCCATTTTATTTATGGGTTTCCAGAGCCACGTTAGCCACGCCAGTAATTTCTCATTCGTGTGTCCGCCCCCCCACGTGATTAGATGGTCAATCAGGACGTGTGGTTGTTTAGGGGGCTTATTATTATTATTATTATTACAACTATAATATAGCTGCAGGGTGACTCTAACACGTACAAATAAATATATTTTTAATACGTACAATAATGATACAACTAGTTATTAAAAAATATAGGAACTTATGGACGTAGTTTTTTTTATTTGTTACTTTTATAGCGTTGGCAACATCCAAGTAGGTGTTGGGGCCGTGGTCCATAATCCTATATCAATCTTTATTTAGGAATCAAAATGGAAAATACATTGTCAACCCTGGAGATGGAATGCATCATGTGTAAACACATATTATGTATAC